GCCTTCTCTGTCCCAGCTGAGCCCACAGTGACCGTGTATCCTGCAAAGACCCAGCGCCTGCAGCACCACAACCTCCTGGTCTGCTCCGTGAACGGCTTCTATCCGGGCCACATTGAGGTCCGCTGGCTGCGCAACGGCCAGGAAGAGGGGGCCGGGGTGGTGTCCACGGGCCTGATCCGGAACGGAGACTGGACCTTCCAGACCCTGGTGATGCTGGAGACAGTTCCCCGGAGCGGGGAGGTCTACACCTGCCAAGTGCGGCACCCCAGCAGCACCAGCCCTGTCACCGTGGAATGGAGTGAGACGCCCTCTGACCTCACACGCCTCCCCCCTCAGGGGCCTTTGCTTGTCCCTGAGGGTCAGGGTCCCCTCTCCCCACACCCCGTTTTCCTTTTCTCGTGTCTATCCTTCAGCACAGGCCACAGGGTAGGCCTGTGATCGCTTCTGTGGACACCCATAGCCCTGGGAGGCCACCATGCCTGCCCTGCTCTGAATTCCCCACACTCTCCCCGTCATGGTGCCCCTTGGCCCTGGGCACCATCCCCTGTGGGCTGGGCGGGTGCTTCTGCCTGCGCTGAGCTGCCCACTGTGATCTGGGAAGAGGCGCGTCCTCCACAGCGTGGGGACCTTCCTGTCCTGGGAGAGCCCTGTCTGTTCTGCCGTCTGCGGCTCTTTCACCCGGGCCAAGTCCTGGAGGTCATCAGCCCCGGGCTCTGCAGCCTCAGAGGCCGAAGCAGTGGCCTTGGGTCAGGTGTGAGGGGACCTGAGGCCAGTGCCTGGGCCTTGAACCTGCTCAGTGTGACTTCAGTCTTTTTCCCAGAAATGGCCAATTCTTCCAGGGCATCACCCACCCCCTCACTCCCTCTCCCATCCCTCAAAAATAAAGCTCTCAATCCCAGGGTCTCCATTAGAGACGTTGCTTTAGGCCAAACCCACTGAAACCAGCTTCTTCTCTCAGGGGCCCAGTCTGGATCCGCACAGAGCAAGGGGCTGAGTGGAGCCGGGGGCTTCGTGCTGGGGCTGCTCTTCCTCGGGGCGGGGCTGCTCATCTACTTCAGGGCTCAGAAAGGTAAGGAGCCTGCTGGCAGCCGAGGCCCCGAGATGGTGGGGAGAACTGGGGCTTTGCTGGGTGAGCTCTGGGTATGGCAGCGCCTTAGAAGCCTCTCTTTCCCTGTCGGTCTCACGTTCCCTGGAAATGCAGAAATAACCAGCTCCCGGTTCTCAGGGTGGAGACATGAGGAGTCATGGCTGTGGGGGTAGAGAGGGGTTAACACTCACGGGGATTTGGGTGCAGATCCTGGGGCACATGGAGGAGCAGGCCCTGTGGTCACTAATGACACTGGATGTGACAGCTTCGGGTCCACTGCTCTCAGCTTCTGCTTTTGTCCCTGCTCTGGTGTCAGCGGGTGGGGGTGCTGCTAGGGAAGCTCAGGTGGCCTGGGCGGGGACCCTGTGTTTGGGGACACACTTACCTTCATATCTTTAAGTGGCATCTTCCTTCTCTTTCCCAGGACACTCTGGACTTCAGCCCACAGATATGGCTCTCTAATCCTCTCTCAGGGACACTATCGATTTCCCTAGAGCAGAAGGTGCAGGGGACGAGCCAGGGGACAGATAGCGGGAGCCTGGGTGTGGCTCTGGTGGCCGCTTACACTGCAGGGTCTCCTCCCGCCTGGTGAGAGGCAGCTCTAAAGCAGCTTTGGCTCCTGTGGCCTCAGAGCTTTTCTTCCCACTTGGGAGCCCCAGCAGGAGGCCTGGGAGGGCAGCGCCCCTGCTGGGCTGGGCCTGGGAACAGCTCTGTCCTCTGTCTGCAGGACTCCTGAGCTGAGGTGGCCATGGCGACAAGGGCAGCTGAGAAACTTTCTGTCAGGCCCCTTAGCAGCCTGAAAGAGGGTTCCCTGCTGGGGCTCTCACTCCACAAAGGAGAAGCGGGCCTCGGGCTCCTGGCTGGGTCCCTGGGCCCCTGAACCCCGCAGCCGCCTCCCTCCCCTGCTTTGTTCCTCCCCGCCCTGGGACCTGGAAGGCCCAGTGTCGACTGCAGAACCTTTAGCTCCCATCCCCTCCCCTGTCCCCTGTGTGTTCAACCCCTCGCTGTCTTGCTGGAGCACCTTAGCTCACCCTCGGCCCCACATTTCTTTTGTAAAATGTTCCTCAATTAAATATGGAGTGAGATCATCTGCCTTCACAGGCTTCAAGGGCACGAAGGGGGAAGAAAAGCTTTCCTTGT